TACCTCAGCAGAAAGCAGAGTTCGCTGAGAACCGAACCCAGAGCGCTACACAACTTAATTAATAAACTAATGAGCACTTTGCGAGCAACCAAACAAGGCATAGTCACAGCTTCAGCTTCAGCCTCAGCCTCAGCCTCTGTCTCAGCTGCAGCTTCAAGTGGCAGGCAGCGCCCAACTTGAGAGATTATCTGCATCGTGTACATACTTACTTACCTTCATACATTGGTTTATTTGTGTGCGGTGCGGTGCGGTGCGGTGCATGCTAGGCCCTGCCTATTTGCAAAAGATCAACGAGAAATTAAAATAAATGTGCAACGTGCAAAAATGCGCACAGGCGTTCATGTTAAACGCGAAAAGTGAAACGTGTTGTGCAAAATTCCCAAAAATAATGCAAACAAAAATTGATTTATGCATATACGTGACAGTAAAGTGGCCCCGAATATAGCAACTAAGGTAACTATACTTTGATATACATATATATAAAAGATCCCCCGATAAGCATTTAACAGCGGCAGCTCTTTTTAACGCAATGCCTATAAGCTGGGAAAATTCTATAGCTTCGCATTCGTGCTTTATGCTTATGGCTTTTGGGGTTTTTCGAAAACCATTTTAAAATTAACAATCCTCTTGAGATCTACCTTTAATATCTGTCCGCATATCAAACAATGACTCGTCTTTTGCCAAGTCTATATGTAGAAGTCGGTCGTAATAGATACAACTCGTATCTAGAAAATTATAATTGCAATTATTCACCTTTTCCAGTAAATGGCCAGTAATTTGGTTGTGCTGGGTAATGTTTAAAAAAAAACAATTAATATCCATTATATAATGTACAGATAATATCATGTATAACAGAAGATTAGTTAATTTTCAATCAGAGATGCTAAAATTAAACAATTGAATAATATTAAATGCTCCATTTCCCCCCGTTCCGTTTTAGACCAGTGTTGCAAAGAATTAAAAAGTTATAAAAGAACTCAAGTTTTTAGGTAATTTTCTTTTGGTAACATAGAAGTTGTTGCAAAATCTACCGACTGCTTACATTACTGCTATAGGATATAGTAATCGGATTCAAATTCAAGTATACGTTTATATGGAGTGGATAGCTCATCGGATCCTGTTTTTGAACGTGGTTCCCATACCCTATGCCTCTCCCACTGTTGTTATAGCCTGTACACAAGGGTAAAAGGCTACACTAACGTCCATCCGTCCGTCCGTCCGACCGTCAGTATGAACGCACGGATCTCAGGAAGTAAAAGAGCAAGAATAACCAAACTCGGAATCCAGATTCTCCTAAGATATTTTTCTGAATTTGTACTCAGATTTTGCAAGTACCTCCAGTTAGTGACTATGCGTCTGTATGCCCAGTTTCATCATAATAGGTCCATTCTGAAGAAAGTTATAGCCATAAATAAAATCGCAGCGCATGCTCTGCTTGTAGCCCTGCCCTGTTGTTGCTGCAGAGACACGATTCTGATGTACATTTATTATTTCCGTGTGATCGTTCCTCAGCACCGTCTCACTGATGACGTATAGCTTTGAGTTTTTACTTATGGTGCTCACCAATTATCTGTTTTATTTCTTCAAAGAGTTATTTTTACGCGTCTTGATGTTCATGCTTTTATATTAATTAATGCAGATAATTAGCTCTACCATATTGCTTGATGATGATTTAGAAGCCGCCACATTTAATAGATTACATGGCTTTGGGCTTATAAAGCCGTCTCTCTTTATGTTTGTTCTCCGACTTTCAAGGATTTCAGGTTTCAAAATACACAACCAATACACCAGTTAAAAGATACTCAAAACTTCATCAAATCCATTCCAAATACTTTTATCTAATTTTCCAATTGCACATATGATTAAGTTTAAGTTTAATTAATATAGGAGTATACATAAGTATTTCAACACCTCTAGGAAAATAAAACAATTTCAGGTATTTCTCTCTAAGCCTACCAGTCAATTTAAATGTGCTGAAGTCCAATCATTTGATTGACTTATGTGATAATTGCTCTTGTCTAATATCAGATATTGGTCAGGTCGTTGGACTCTGATCGAAAGTATTGTCTTAAGAAAACAAACGACCTAGATCAAGTGCAGAATCAAGGCTTCAGGGATAACCTATTGCATACAATTAAAGTGAATTTTATAACGTGCCTCCTCTTGTACTGGTACTTGGAAAATCTGTCGCTAAAACAGCCGTAATTGCTTTGCCATGAATTGCGAAGATGCCAGATGGACAGCCTCATTTACAGGTCCGTGTAAGCTGAGAAGTGCTAAGCAGTTGACTCCGCCCAGTGCAAGAAAAATTAGATGAAGGTTAAGGTAAAAGCATCCAAAACAAGAAGCTACCAAACAATATTAATAATATAAAACATAGACCCAAAAGCTGGATGGGGCAGTAAATCATTTTGTTTTCACTGTTGCTGCTGTTGTTTAATTATCAGAGTTTTGTGGTCCTAGGCATGATTTTGTCAGTTGCTGGGGCTCAGGCTCGTAAATTATGCAGGGAACGAGCTGACGTTTTGGCTAGTAGCATTGGCAATGTGTAGAAAAGAAAGAAAAATTATATTTATTGCACTTTCGGCGCATCGTGTAAATTGAAAACGAACGAGCAAAAATATTCAAATCAATGAAAACTGATAGCCTCGGGCGCATAAGGCGAGCAAAGTGCCAGGACGGCTCGACATGTAGACAACTCGACAAGTCGGCAGTGCGGCCATGATTAACATAAGCCGGTCCAGCCCTAAATATTACTTGGATGCTGTGGCTTGAGAGCGCGAGCTCTTTCTGCCCCAACCGCATACTATTTAAACGACATGCCAACACTTGACCATGGCAGGTACTCGTAGGTACTTGGCCCCATGGATCGCACTTCCAAACGTATCATTAACAAGTCACGACAAATTCGCCCAGGCATTTGAAGCGCTGAAGCCAAATTTGGTCCCCACTCCGACATTAGATAAAATGCAGTCGGAGTCGCCTTCGCCATTTCTGTTACAAGCGAGAAGCTTCAAAGCTGTAGTCGAACCTGAATTGGTATCAAGTGCCAGGTACATGGACAGGTACACACACACTTCCCGCCACCCATCCCCGAGTACTGAACACTGGCGGCCGCTTTGAACAACGCCCAAGACGAGGTGTGAAAAATCTAAAATGCAAACATTGTGGCAACAATCGAATGCTCCACTCGCTCTCGAAGTCCATTTGTAGTTGCTCCCCTGGGCGCTGCCAAAAAATAAAACAAAAAAATGAAAAAAACACGACGCCACAATCTGCTCAAAAGGATGGGGCTGTGATTGTGAGTGTGGTGTGTGTTGAAGGATGCGCTGCATTCCCATGAATTATTTATTTCAATTGTATATGAAAGTGTGTCTGTGTCTCTGTTTGTGTGTGTGTGTGTTGCATTATTTTTAGAGCCTATAAAGCGCACAATTTATGAGCAGTGAAGCCAAATTATATTCAAGGGGCCATGCAAAATTTATTAACAAACATAAAATTGCACGAGAATTTATTTCATCTTAATTCAATTTAACAACTTAAACAACCATAAAGTGTTCACATTGTAAATCATGCGACCAGTTAAGTTATGTACGCTAAAATGCTCGCCGCTCAATGATGATTATGATGAAATTATGATAATCATGATCATAACTATGGAGCACTTTAAACTATGATGAGCTTACATTTATGCAGATGCACCCGTTGTACAGTGAAGCAGATCACTTCAAAAGCATCGAATTGTAAATAATAATTTTTTCTTAATTATTTGTTTAAATTATCAGCTGAAATGTTTACTTTACATATTTATTTTAACATAAATATGATTCAAAAATAAGCCCCAAAAGGTTTAATTTTGTTCTTTATATATTCTTACTTTCGCCACAATACCTTCATTAAAACGGTTGTCAGCTATTTTTTACGACAACTATTTTCTGCCTAGACTTCCAAAAGTGTACCCCCACAAAATATAATATAATAACTCTTCTTTACCAATCCTACAATTGCAAATAATTGGTTACTTAAAGAAAAGAAAATACATGTATCTATAGTAAGTTAAATAAAATTCACCGACTTAAAAAAGTGTAAGCCCTTGGTCTTAGTTCCCGAAAATGCTTATTTCTGAGTAAAGCACTAAATAAGGATTATCCAATCGGTTCTTTGTTATAATAATTTAATCTTGGATTTTCAACCCTCTACGAAAACTATTTGATATCCACAAAATAAAATAATGCGAGTTGCCTAAGCATTGAAAACAATATTTACGAGTATAACATTTTTAAAGTAAGCAGCTTATTGTTTTTTTATACTTATATCAAAATTAGTATACCTTAGGCTTAAAAAGCAAACACAGAAATCCAGTCTGACGGTTAAATGGCTGAGGTTTTAGCGATAGAACTTTTCATTTTACTCTTCATCGCAAATATTATATAGGAATAAGTTTCCTTTAAGCTAAAACAATAATCACATTGGACGGACATGTAGTTTGTCCTGACTTCTGAAATTATTTTCCTTTTTTGAATTAGTATGGGTGTTGGGAAAGCTTTCTAAATACTGGGTAAGCACATGGACTATACTATTTTATACAAGCAAAGCACTGTGCGCAGCCGGCAACAGCATCCAGAACGAAGCCCCTCGGTCAGCGTAGTCTTGGGTCTAGTCATAAATTTCTGACGTACGCATGAAAATGAGTCAAAACAAATTATGCGGCGGTTGATTGACAGCGCAAGGGGTGCGTACTAAGGAGCACAGCCTCAGCCTCAGCCACAGCAGCCCAATCGAGCAGGTCCATGCTGATGCCTAGCAAGATTTCAATCAGTTGCACCAACAATTTTATGACATTTATCATACTCAAAGTACTTGTATTTTAGATGGCAAGGGTATTTTGTATGGAAAATATTTATTTGATGAGACGTCTTAATAATTTAGAATAATTTAAATGATACATGGCTGAGTAAAATATGGGGTAGGTGGGCCTTAGGCTGGCTCTGGCGATTGGATTAGCTGGCGCAGTAACAGGCATCGGCAGTGTTCGCCTTGATCCAGTCGAGGAATTTGCTGACACGTGCATAAACTCCTGGCGCATTGGCCTGAGCACAACCGTAGCCGAAGGACACCACACCGGCGAGCTTGTAGCGACCCTCGTTCACAATCAGGGGACCACCACTGTCACCCTGGCAAGCGTCCTTGCCACCCGACTTGACCAGACCAGCGCATAGCATGACGTCCACAATCTTGTTCTTGTAGCGCGTGGTGCGACACTGCTGGTTGGTGATGATGGGCACGCTGACCTCTTGCAGATAGTTGGAGGTGACACCGCCCTCCTTGATTAGACCCCATCCCGCAACAACACCCTAAGGTAGAAGAATGCAATAAAGCCTAAGAAATGGATCTCCATTTTTGCTATGCATTTCTGAACTTACCGTCTTGCCATCGAAGTTGTGATTGGCATTGGGCAGGCACACGGGACGCATGTTTCCAGTTAGGGGCACGGGGGACTCGAGACGCAATAGGGCCACATCGTTGACAATGCGCTGGTTATCGTAATTGGGATGAATAATGGTACGCGTCACCTTGCGGACAATGCCAGGATCGCGGGAGGATCTGTCGATCTGCAGCAACCGAATGCTGATCTGATCCCGATTACCCTGCACACAGTGAGCTGCGGTCAGCACGTAACGGTCATTGATCAGCGAACCACCGCAGAAGAGGCGCGGATAGTGACGGCCCTTGACCAGCTGTGCAGTCCAAGGATATTTATTAGAGCGCACCTGTTGGCCGCCCACAATGCGGTTAGTGTTGGGTGTGCCGCAAACTACAAAACGAAAATTCAACATAATTGCTTTTATTAGGATTCAGTTCGGAGTTGGGTCAATTGTTTCTTCAAGCTAGACCATCAGATAATCGATCTGCCCAAAGTAAAGCTGTCTATGACTCTTCTTTGGCATTGACTTGTCACTGACTATTTAGAAAACAGGACCAATTATTTGCCAGTCAAATTTTTGTGATAGCTATTTCCTCTGAGGTGCTTCTGCTGGAATCAGTTCTTCAGCTGAGCTAAGCAGCTTTCGATGTCTTTTGTTGTTTTGAAGTATTCCCTATGCCTTTATGATATACCTCATAAGGATCAAACTGGAAGTCTCTCTCTATACGAGCAGTATTCAGACAGGATCAAAGTTCTTTTCCTCCAAACCAACTCGTAAACTCAATAAAATAAACCGTTAACACCTCCTTATAGCCCAGTTGGGCCAGATGTGCCTAGTGGCCTCCTTTACATTGACTCTCCACCATACTCACAGCAATTCTGTTTCGGCGAACACTGCTGGCGTTGCTTGCCTCGTCCTGCCTTTAAGCTGTGGCTCTGCTCCTCTTCAGCCGACAGATCCAACACATCGCTGAACTGTTGCGCCAAGGTGTTGTGCACGGGCTGCGGAGATTCGTATTGGTATTGCGCCTGCGCACATAAGCAGAGGCTGCAGCCGAGCAACAGCAGTAGGGAACGCATCTTGGCCGGCTTGTTTACACTCGGATTATAACGGATTCTTATTTTTTGGACTGCACTTGCACGCTGCGGTGCCTGGCAAGAAAGTGACGAGTCTGTTTGCCTAAGCCGCGCTACTTATACTCGCCTCGATCGACGGCGCTTCGATTTAATAAAACTAAAATATGAATGTTTTATTGCTTTTATAATGGGTCGCTCCACATCTTTCTTTTTTCTTCCTACTGCTTGCTTTTGCCGCGCTTTAAGCTTTCTTTGTTGCCAACTTATTTGCATAACACTTTAAAGCCGCGAGCGCGCGCGCCTTCGTCTGAAGTGGCTCTGGGGACTGTGTGAGTGGCGTTGTTTGTATTTCGCATTTATGCGCTTGTAAGCTGTAAAGGTCCAACAATAAGAATAACATCAATTTGGCGAGAACCACTCACAACAAAATGCCGAAATGACAAATAAACTTTTTATGCCCTTCTGACGGTTTGCATATTCATGAAAGTGGAGCAAGCTTCCAGTCCAGACGCCTCCACATGCCGCAATCTTCAGTTGATTACTTTTTAACGACTCTTAAATGTGAGGCACGTTTGATCGGATTCTGGCATGCGCTACACGCAATTCTGGCAGACATTGCCGAATTATATAGGAAGACAAATCTAAATAGTAACGAGGAATGGACGTGCTTGCAATACTTCAAACTCCCTGATCACTATATTTATAATCATCTTTATTTCAAATTATTTTAGTATTTTACGTTGTAGCTGTGATAAATACTGATTATTAAATTGCCATCCCACAGACATTTCAGGAAAACATAAACAATAATAATAATAACAAATATTATATTTATTACAATTATAGTTTAAATATAATAAGAGTAAATACATGGTAAATATTCTTTGAATATCGCGATCATAATGTTTGCTTACAATATTTAACAAAACACTTTATATTTCTGTTTCTGGTTTTATGAGTATTTGATGCCTTGAAGTTGATTTTTGCTTTAAGATTACACTTCCCCAACATTTTTAGCTACAGAATTTTATTAGGGCGCGGAGTTATTGAATGTTCGGCCCGATTTTTTTTATCAGGAACGAGCCAGATGTAGCATAAATAACATCCTTAAATACTTTTGTCCCAGGAGAGCGCTGGGTATCCGGTAACATTATTAAATGCTTCACAACGCCCGCTTTCACGCTGTTGCGCATAATTTACAAGCGAATTGCAGGTTAACCTTTTTAATTTATTTTTCGGAACAATTTACGAAATGCCCTGCCACAAGTGCTAGTTGCGTGCAACGAACGCGCACGGTTGCGCATCCATCGCCTGGCCATATTTCTTTGGCAGGAATGCGTCGGTTAGCCGCTTGGATGGGTCTTCCCTGCGGCGCATTATTGAACGCCCGAAATATAAATTAATAACAAGAGCGGCGTTGATAAATTGCTGGCAGTATAGTATTATGCAACACATGTGACAGGGCAAGCGCAAGAATTTGTAATAAGTATATTATGTAAGGCAACACACAGAAGCTCAAGAATATTTGATTACTATGCTCGATCCAGGGTCGAGTATTCCATACATTTATGAGATTTGGCGATGACGTCCGTAACGGTGCATTCTTTTATTCTACCTTTTTTCGTTTTAAAGTAAGTAAGGCTCAAAAATTCATGAATTTATGGACCTGTATTTAATTTACATAAGCAAGCATGGACTATATTTTAATGGTGTTCTTCTGCCCTCAAGTACTTTAAATTCACATACATGTGGAATTTGTTGAAATATGTAAAAAAAAATGTATTTACAAAAAATACATAGACATAACATTTTACAAATTAAAAACAAACAAGGTTTATTTTGAAAAATGAAGGATTCTTTTTGCTCATTGCTTGAAACGATTTAAATTTCTGTACAACATGTTTAGAAATATTTAACTCCATTCAGAAGCTGACCTATTGTGGAAAAATTTGTCTACTTCTAACCCAGTTTGTCCTGCGACTCGTTTGGCTCGCACTAAAAACCATAATGAATATATTATAGGCACATAGGAATGCTCAACTTAATTTGTGCAAATTAAAGTCTCGTATGTATGGCATAGACCATTCTGTCCGCACATAAATAACTTTTACTTTTATGCAAGCATTAATACAATGCAAATTCCCTTAAACATTTCTTTTAGAAATTCGTTGAATTTGCATAATTTACAGCTCACGATTTGGAAACGGGGCTGACAATAGAAAGAAAGGCGTAATCTGCTTAAAAGCTGCCATAAATTATGCTAAGAGAGCACTATTCGCAGAAACATACAAATACACGTACATGCACGTCTATATGTCAGAAGTGCCAGATGGGAGCTCTGATAAGACAATTGTTTAAATTCAATTAAATATGCAATTAATGCGCAATTTTACACACAAATGCGGCACGTAATTACAAACGCCAGCGTGGCCATTATGTTTTCAACAGATGAACTGGCATGGCAGACACGGCCATAGAATGCTGCTTGATAACAACAACCTGAGGAGCTCAACAGCTGAGCGACGTCTGCTCATAGACGCATGCATGACGAATCTAATTACACACAAACTCTAGCAGTGGGCGTGGCAGCACGACAAACACGCAGTCGAGTTAGCAGTCGGTGCATTGAACTGGCCTAAACAAACAAAAGACTTAGGCAGCGAACTTGCACCCATTGTGTATGTGTGTGTGTGTGTGTGTGTGTGTGTGCACCTCAAACTGTAGCAGAATTTAGAAAGGTTGAGTGGCATGCCATTCACCCAACAATCAAACTCATACGACGAGTATGTTGGACTCATAAATTTGCATAAGAACTGAATCTAAGCTGCAGATGCTACTTATCTCAGCAGCTCCCCACAACACACAAGAGGAAACAATAACGCCAAGCATTTTAATTATTGCGTGTGTGACTCCCCTTCTCCATCCTCCTCACTCTCTCGCTCTCTCGCCCCGTCTCTCTCACATTTAATGAATGATTCTGACGATGATGGCGACTGCTGACTTCTGGCTTTCTTTCCGTGCCAGTGCTGAGTTAGTCTGATGTGCTGCATTTGATAACTGGCAGGCAATGAAGAAGACCCTTAGATAATGAAAAGGAAGCAGTCGAGAAATAATTCAAATTAGTTGCAGTCGGCAGCCGCCAGCTAGGCAAACAACTGCAACCGCAACTGCAACGGCTCCGCCTATTTCCAACTCCGGACTACCAATGCATGCAGATGTTGCAGCTTCTGCTGCTGTTTTGTTGTTGTTATTGTTGCTGTTGTTGGCAACATCTTCTTCCTTAACTGCTGCTCGCAATGACATTAATTCATTTCGTATGCAAAGCAATCAGTGGCCGAGGCTGGCAGTAGCCACTGCTAGTGCATTGAAACAGAAACAGAAACAGAAACAGCCAGCGAGTGGCGAACAGCGAGTATTGCTTTGCAATTAGAAGAGAGCAAGGAAAATTGTATGCAGTTTCCAGTTGGGCCCCCTCGGCCGCTCCACTCACTCCCCTCTCACTGATTTGCATTGCACGATTCTCAACTTAATTTAACATAAAGTAAACAAGCGCAGTTAACAAGCCAAATACAAGCCGTGAGCTTAGGAGAGATGGCAGCGTGACAACATATTCTTACCACAGAAATGTGGAACAAGCTCCCATTTCCCACTGGACTGGCGAAAGCACAAGACATTATTAGCAAATGCTGTTGGGTAAGTTGGTCTTCCCACAATTGATAAAGGACTTAGATAAAAATTTGTGTGTTATTAGATTGTTCACAAAATTCCTTAAAAATCGGTATAACTTTTGTCTTACTAGTCCAATCACTGGAGTTGATTTTGTACCAATTTAAAATATTTAGTAACTATAAAATTATAAATTTTTCCCCTGTACTTGAAAAATGAATGGGTGTACTAAAAATGTAACAGGCAGAAGAAGGCAAGACAGATCTATTTTATAGGTATGTACATATGTACACATACGTTCAGCGTGAAGAAATAAAAGTCTACCCGACTGTCTGTCTTTCCATCCATGATTTATGACTATTTAATAGCCATCTGGAATAGTTATCTTAAATTTTAATTTATGAAAAAAGGAAACAAAACTCATCAACTACTGTAAATTGCTTTTTGAATAATGTTACCAATGTTTGAAGATGTTAATTTTTTGGGGCTACTTATGTTCTCGAAGCTTTCCCCATATAATCACGCTTCCATCTCTAGTCTGGAGTCCATGGGGGCGCAGCATGCTCAGCATGCGGGTGCCATGCTGTGCTACCAACAAAGGGCAGCCTTTGCAGCCGTCCCTGTCGGTGTCACTGTCACTTCCCTCAAGCGACAAAGCCCCTCCTGCACCCCGCCCGTGACGCGTTGTGAAAATTCTAAAATATTTGCAGCGCACTGCAACCGAGTCCATGCTTTCTCACAAGTCAACGCGCGCGCGCTAGACACTTTAACATCAGGCATCGTGAGGAGTTTATTAAAAGCATGGCCAAGACTCTCCAGCTAGCCATAGACATGGACAGTCAACCACTCAGGCCAAATCCTTTGTAAGGTAATTGCTCATTTGAGTTATAAGCACGCACAGCCTGTACCTGTACCTGTCCCGTCCTGTTCTGCTCTGTTCTGTTCTGACGCCGCCATAGATGGCAATCGTAGCAACAGAGCCCCGGTAAGGGCTGACAACGACGACAGCGACTCGAAGACGACTCACCTGCCGACTCCTCGTCGCTTTGCATGTCTAACAATTGTTCTTCTAATTGCGTTTATGGCTGGGCCGGGCAACACTACGAATCCACTGTGGGATTGATGCTTGTAAACGCAATCGGACAAGATAATCTCAGCGTGTATAATGATTTCGAGCAAACGCAACCCAACGCAAATAGAACAGCAGCCCCAACAACAGCACTCGAGAAGGGCGTGCTACATAGTTGGCTATGTGTTAACAAACATTTGGGGCCAGCAAATTCCAGACTGCGTTGAATTAAGTTTTTAAAATTGGCATGTGCATTGATAGAAATGCG